GTATAGGTATTCCATATTTTATGTATCCATTCTTCAGTTGTTGCACATTGGCTTGTTAGGTCTTTCTCCTTTTATATAGCATTTTTCAAGGAAAAATAAACATGGGATACAGTTGCTTATGAATTCACCCCTGGTCTGTGAGCTTAGACAGATCCTCCATTGAGCTTGCCAGATGCTGCTTACAAAGAAAAATGGGTCAGTCATAGTATAAGAATTCATGCATTTCCTGTGTCAGATCAAAGAATCAGGGCAAGAGACGGCCATTTAGAAAGTTTGACTTTTCGGCTCTGTCTATTCTCTCTACGGCTTCAGGTTTCTGGAATTATCATTCAGCAGAACGTCTTCATTTCCTGGGATACATCTGAAAAAATATCCCAGCTCACATCGAAACAAAAAGCCCACCAGCCAGCTGAAGCCCTGGGGACAGCATTGCCTTTAATCAGCCTGGACTGATTCTCTTACACTTTTCAGTACTGACAGGCTGTTGTCCAGCACACTTGATTACCCAGCTCAGGAGCGCTAAAAGAGAAGTTCAAAGATAAGGTTACTGGGAAAATCCCATTCCCTCAGTCTTTCTACACTCACCTTAATGGCAGTTCTGACATATCAAGAATTTTCATTTCAATTTTAGAGAATTTGCAGTATGAGATGCAGCTCACCAGACTTAAACTGACAGTCAGACTTAAACTGACAATCCCATTCTTGTTGGTAACTAGCTACGTAATCTTAAGCAGATTTCTCACCTATAAGGTGGAAATAATACATACCTCAGAAGATTCGAGGATTACGTGAAATGGTATATCATCTACTACTTGGTGCCTAATAAATGTGGGTCCTCCTCCCTCCTGCTTCATTTCATGGTGTTCATGAGGTTTGGATAGGACTGTCAGGCAAAAGTACCTAGTAAAATGCCTGAAACTTAGAAGATACTCAGTAAATCTTAATTGAATTTGAGAGGTACCTGGGTGGCTCAGTCGGTTAAGCATCCGACTTCAGCTCAGGTCATGATCTTGATCTTGCGGGAGGGCATTACCAACGGGCGATGACACTGGGAGGGAATTCTCATGGCCGTTTTTTGCAAACGTTCTTTCCGAGATACTAATTATTACAGTAATACAGATCTGTTTACTGAGAATTATCAGTCTACAAAATCAGAGTGAAAACAGGTACTATAATCACAGTGTTAGTAAGAAAATGTTGGTCACAACAGGAGTGCTGACTGATCCATGTGAACTTAATACGGAAGCAGTCTAACACAGAGGAAGAATATTGTGATGCAGTCAGTTAATTTCTGGAACCACTAAATAACAGGAATCACAAATACACCTAACTGTTTTTCTTTTTTGAATGCATGCTGTTTCTTGCCAGTTGAGTTGGCTTCTCCTACTAGTAGATTCATTCATGTCTTCAGCTTTACTTATATAAAACATTTTTATAACCAACATCTCTAGATGATATCTTTATTACAGTTTGGGCCAAGAAAAATTTGGTCACCTCTTCCATCTGTTTTAAAAAAGACAACATGGGGCGCCTGGGTGGCGCAGTCGGTTAAGCGTCCGACTTCAGCCAGGTCACGATCTCGCTGTCCGTGAGTTTGAGCCCCGCGTCAGGCTCTGGGCTGATGGCTCAGAGTCTGGAGCCTGTTTCCGATTCTGTGTCTCCCTCTCTCTCTGTCCCTCCCCCGTTCATGCTCTGTCTCTCTCTGTCCCAAAAATAAATAAACGTTGAAAAAAAAATTTAAAAAAATAAAAATAAAAAAGACAACTTCTCCCCTGCCACCTCCAAAAAAAACCCCGCTAACAACAACAACAAAAAACTCAAAGAGTCAGAGACAGTCTTGTCACAAGTATTTGTTGAGTCCTAACTACTTTTTGCTTTGGTCTGGTCTTTGGTTTATGCCCATACACATCTAAGCTGTGGCATATTTTAGATTAGTGGTTATCAAGTGTGATAATCCCTCTGGAGATAAGAACTTCTTTTGAATGGTTATCAGTAACTGAGCATAAATACGTTTTCATAAGTTACTGCCAACTCATAGGATTAGGAAATTTTCGGAGCTGTAAAGGGGCGTGGGAAATAATGGTCCAGGGGCCTCTTTTTGTAGATTGGAACCTATGGTTTTCCCAGGATTTTATAGTTGGACCAAAATCTGGATCTTTTTAAAAAAATATTTATTTTTGAGAGACAGAGCATGAGCAGAGGAGGGGTGGAGAGGGAGGGAGACACAGAATCGGAAGCAGGCGCCAGGCTCTGAGCTGTCAGCACAGAGCCTGACGCGGGGCTTGAACTCATGAACTGTGAGATCATGACCTGAGCTGAAGTCAGAGGCTTAACTGACTAAGCCATTCAGGTGCCCCTAAATTCTTTAAACAAATTTATGGTACTTGTTGCCAGTATTTTATTCCAGTTTGTCATTTGTCTTAGCTTATATATGTGCTTACTAATTTTTAAAAATGTATGATGTTTTCTTTACATAAAAGGTTTTTATTTCTCCATTTTTCATTGCATCTGGGTTTTTGTCATAGGTAGAAAGCCTTTTTCCACACCCAGGTTTTTTTTTTATTTTTACATTTATTTTTATTATTTATTCATTTTTGAGAGACAGCATGAGTGGAGGAGGGGCAGAGAGAGGGGGAGACACAGAATCTGAAGCAGGCTCCAGGCTCTGAGCTGTCAGAGCAGAGCCTGACCAGGGGCTTGAACTCGTGAACCGTGAGATCATGACCCTGAGCTGAAGTCAGACACCTGACCATTAGGCTGAGCCACCCAGGCACCCCTTCCACACCCAGGTTTTAAATGCATTCACACAAGTTTTCTTACAGTGCTTATAGTTTCCATTGTTACAGTCGGAGCTTTTACCCATTTGGAGTTTTCCTGGTTTAAGATGTGAAGTGTGGATCCAATTCAGTGTTTTTCTAAATAACTAATTGTTTGGAAGCCATTTGGGCTCTCTATTTTGTTTCAGGACTTCCTGTCCTGGTCAGCTGGTTGGACTGTCTAGCCAGGAGATTCCATATGAAAGGACACCATACACCGTTTGTGCCAGGAGATTCTGTATGAAAGGACACCGTGTGCTATATGTGACAGCTGTCGCTAGCACAGCCATGGTTACATGGCTCCAGGAGGCTCTCTAAGTACTCTTTGTCTGTGTGTGGGATTTGTGGAGGCTTGCCGCACGGTTGTTCCTGGTCCCAGAGGGGGGGACCGATCAAAAGTACTTGTCGACAAATCCAAAACACTTCCTCTTCTACAGGTTTTATTTTGTTGCAGTCCCTTCAGAAGTAGATTATGAAATGATACCTTACATTTAACTCAACAATTAAATAAAATAAGCGTGCAAAGCCCTTAATGTGGTACCTAGAACAAACAAAACAACACACACACTCACCAGATAATCACTGATCTTAGTAAATACTGTGTGTAATCCCTCATTAGTGAGGAGGCACCAGTGAAGTAGGCTTTGGGCAGCATCTGGAAGTGGGCAGATCTAGGATTGGCTGCTCTTGAACTTGGCAATGGTAAAGTGAGATGACAAACGTCTGAGAGGCAGTCAGGGTGCCTGCTTGACACTGGACCAGGGGGTGTCGGGAGATAAGGTTGCATGGGACAAACACTTGTTGGTGTTTCTCTTCTAGACCCCTCCCCATCCACTTCTTAAATTTTTTTTCAGTTTACTTATTTATTTATATAGAGAGAGCACAAGTGGGATAGGGGCAGAGAGAGAGGGAGAGAGAACTCCAAGCAGGGTCTGTGCTGTCCGTGCAGAGCCCCACATGGGGCTCGAACTCCTGAATTGCAAGATCGTGACTTGAGTCAAGATCAAGAATTGGAGGCTTAACTGACTGAACCACCCAGATGCCCCTCCCCATTCATTTCTCAAGGCTTTGAGCCTTCTGGTCTTTTTTCCTGGTTACTGGGGAAAAGGGCAGTATAAACCCACATACTCATGGAAAGCACCGGGAAAAAACTTCTGTACTTCCTGGTATTAGAATACTAATTAGAAGTACAGATTACTTTGACGTGTGAAGTAGATACATTCAGCTAGCTAGGTTGTTAAGTCGTGCCAGGTACAATTTTTCTTTTTGCCCTTGTTACTAACTAGTGACTGACTGCTGTTTTCATACCTGCTGCCTCTGCTGTGTAACTGCCCTGCCACCTAAGTGCTGATTCTTCTTCAGGGATGTTTGGGGCCCAGCCGAAGCCCCCCTCTACCAGTCTTCCCTGACCATGCCAGCTTGCAAGATCTTTCCTTCTGTGAGATCTTGAGATCTACTTATGAGAGACAAACCCTGTTAACATTTTGGTATATTTCCTTCCAGTCTTTTTTTCTCCCCGCTACATATATGATTTTACAGAGTTGAGATCATTCTGTACATATAATAGCGTATCCTGTTTTTAACTTTTAGCTTTATTGTAAACTGTTTATAAATAAGATTTTAAAAGTTACGTAATATTTCCTGGAGTGGATGGATTATGATTCATTTCTATTTGCTTTTTCATGCATATTTTTCTTATTAGTCCAGTCCGATCATGAGTTTATCAAAAGGGAGTCACCCTATTGTATCACTCCCCTTCTCTACTCCGTTGGCTCTAGAAAATGTTGTCTACGTAGATGACAAGTAAATGTGTTTGCTTGCTTCTCTGTTTTAAGTCTAAATGTTACAGGAACGTGTTGCCATCAGAGACCCCCAAAATACTACTTGCATCTTACTCGGGGTCTTTACATCACCCAAGTCTCTCCATCCAGAAAAAAAGGGGCCCTGGGGAAGTATTTGCATGAATTTGAGGGGGGCCACAGTCCTCTGAAATTCCATGAGAAGCATTTGGAGTGAGCATTTGTGCATTTCCTGTGGTTTTTACTAGATTCTCCTCAGGGTCCTTCTCTAAAAAAGCCACTGACACACAGGCCGAATGAAGGCCGTCTGGAGATGGATGTAGCCATTAAACTTATCTGAGGTCGAAGATATCATTTTTCTCCTTTTGTCGTTCTTGGTTTTCAGGAAGGGATGAGACCATGCAGCCTGCAAAACCATCGTTCCTTGAATACTTTGAACAAAAAGAAAAGGAAAATCAGATCAATAGCTTCGGCAAAAGTGTACCTGGCCCCCTGAGGAACTCCTCAGATTGGAAAGTGCCGCAGGATGGAGACTATGAGTTTGTAAGTAGTGCTGGAAGCCAGTGGTTCTGTCTGCTGGGCAGAGTTATTTGCCACAACACACATCCAGTTCTGTCACTTCACCAAAAGCGCTAGAGCATTTTCTTGTGCAGCGTAAGCCTCTGGCCATTGGGCTGAGGGCCTCATGGGTTCGAGACGACATCTTCACTGACATTTGAGTAGGTCTGGGTCTAATGGCATCTTCTTTGCTCTAAAAATCCTTTATTCACTTGCCATTTGTCTTTTTGTTGAGCTTGGAATTCTTAATGGTAAAAGAAATCCTCATCGAGTAAGGACCCACATTTCTAGTTAATTTGGGATTGTGACTTTATAGTTAAGAATTACACTGGAGGGCAGTTCATGCTGGTGTGTGGTGTCTTTTCTGTTTTGCTAATCATTACCCTAATTTTAGACTCTCTGAGAGGACTATTCTGAATGTTGCCTGAGGATGAATATTAAACTGTTCCAAAGTTTCTTATGAAAAACTGGGTGTGTTTTTCCTTTCTCTGCAGTGGAACATTCTCCCTCAACCACAGACACGTGTTAATGTTCACAGAGATTCAGTGAGCAGAGGCAATAAAAAATTGGGGGAAAAAGTAAGCTAAGGAGTCTGCATTCCTTTTTTTGAACATTTTTAGAAAAGAATTTTCTCTTTAGGGATTTTTAACTTTTACACTCTTAAATTCTGTTGTCATTCTGATGTTGCTTATGAAAGAATTTGGATTGGACATTGTGGTTGGATTCTGGGAGGCCTTTCTGGCCCTGTCTTTCTACTCTCCTACTCATTGGCCTTGAGGTAATGACCTCCTTATCCCATATGTAATTTCTACCACTGTACAGTAGCAGGAATGTCATAGTGTGTGCTAACGGTGACAGAGGTCATTTGAGCATCAGAATAACCCACCTGAGGCTGTTTTACTATTGAGTCCCTGAAGCCCTGTTAGAGCCCGCTTCATGTGCCTTGTCATCTGTTCATTCATTTACTTCTTCAGCATCACGTGTTACTGTCAGCTGTTCACTCATTTATTAGTAGACTCGTGAGATTTGAATTACTTTGGCGATTCGGTGTTGCCCACGTGGTTGCCTTCAGCGTATTTGTAAGGACTGATTTTCTCGGTTGAGTGAGTCTCTAGGCAAAGATGAAATAACTTCTGGATACCAGATACCATCACTGTGACAGAAAGCTTCAGAATCCTCAAATCTGTATTCCTAGGTGTAGTGTCCTTCTCTTTGATAAAAGTTAGTGATCCCGAAATTCCGGGCATTTTAATCACTGTTTTTGGATCGGTAGCTCCAGTGTTGGAAGAATTCTCTTTTCTCTGCCATAGTTTTCCCATACTAGGATTACTGGCCGAGAAGTTGTTTTGGTGGGCAAGCTGCTTATGCAGAGAGGCTTTCTTTCATAGGTGTTTAGAGAGCGTGCTTTCCATTCTGGGAATAGGCAGCTGCTGGAGGGAGTGGCCACGAGCGCCGCAAGTAGGTGAGCACATTGCCCAACCTGGACTGTGCCTGGCCCGGGTGGGAGGGGGTCCTGAGACTCCCTGTGCACAGAGCTTGTAAACTGGCAGCCTCCAGCCTACAGACCTTTTTGTGTGCCTGTATTGTGTTTACAAACCTTTGAGTAGTTGCTCAGGTTTGAAAGTTGAGAGCTTTTAGATAAAATGGTGGATCGCTGGCTTATTTTGAAAACTTGAAAGACCTGACCATAACTGTCTGCAGCTGCACAGCAGCTGCCCTTTTTAGGTCTGGTTCTCAATGTCTGGCCTCCTTTATTCATGTGTATTGACTGACCTGTCTGGCATTTAGGGGCATTTGACTGGGATTCTTGCTGTAAATCCTTAGGATGAGTATATGTCCACATTGTACCTGAACCAACCTATCCTACCATGTAAAATTTTATTCTACTTTTACTGTCCAAATTTCAACAAAACTTTTAATTTCTCTTTTAAGAGAATCTCAGACCAAGCAATGAAAGAAAGTTTAGGTGGGGTATACATGAGCTGCTGTTTCAAAAAGGACCAGAGAGCAGATGAAAATGATTTTTAATGCCTTCAAGTTCTTGCTAGGTAGCTCTTGCCTTAATCCCAAACCGAGCATTTGAAATAACGGCCTCAGACAGTTTCTTGAAGAGTCTTCCCCAGGCCAGCAGCGTTGGTATCTCTTGGAAACTTGTTAGAAATGCGGTTTCTCAGGCCCCACCCTGGACTTCATGAATCGGAATCTCTGGGGGCAGTGCCGAGTGATCTGTGCTCTAACCAACCTTACACTCGATTCTAATTTGCTAAATTCTGCTCTAAAGGTTTTTAGAGTGCAGTACAGCTTTTTTTCTAACCTACCTTACACTTGATTCTAACTTGCTAAATCCTGGTCTAAAGGTTTTTAGAGTGCGGTATAGCTTTTTTTCTTTCCTACTGGCAGTATAGAAATTCAGAAATAAGGATGTATTCGTGATTTATTAGCCTTGCGTGATTTTTTTAAATTTCTTTTTTACTCTCCTTTTGCGTCTCCTGTACTCCTATTGGAGTTTCCAAAGAAGCACATAAAAGAAGGAAATTACCCATTAAAAAAAATTTTTTTTTAATGTCTATTTACTTTTGAGACAGCATGAGCAGGGGAGGGGGAGAGAGAGAGAGGGAGACACAGGATCCGAAGCAGGCTCCAGGCTGAGCTGTCAGCACAGAGCCTGACACGGGGCTCGAACTCACAGACCACAAGATCATGACCTGAGCCGAAGTCGGATGGTCAACCGACTGAGCCACCCAGGCGTCCTGGAAAGTATCTGTTTGTAAGTGACATTTGGCAAAGAACAAGCCAATTTGTGGCGTGAAGAAAGTATTCTGAATAATTTCACTGAGTTTGTAGAAGGTTGTGTGTCAGACTAGCTAACATGTCTCCTTCAACAATCTCTTAGAGACGCTGATTTCCTAGGCATTTAACACCATTTAGCTATGAAATTTAATACATTTAACAGGTTTTAATTATGAAAAAGATACTCTCTTTCTTCCTGTGAAGGCAGTTGCTATTTTGAAATGAGTTTTTTGCCCAAAATGGCAAATAGGAAGTAATTTTGTCAGGAGTAGTAGAATTGGATACTGACAAAAACCATCGTATTTTCATCTGAAATTGAATACTTTTGCATTTCTATTTATTTTTTTTTCAACGTTTATTTATTTTTGGGGGGACAGAGAGAGACAGAGCATGAACGGGGGAGGGGCAGAGAGAGAGGGAGACACAGAATCGGAAACAGGCTCCAGGCTCTGAGCCATCAGCCCAGTGCCTGACGTGGGGCTCGAACTCACGGACCGCGAGATCGTGACCTGGCTGAAGTCGGACGCTTAACCGACTGCACCACCCAGGCGCCCCAACTTTTGCATTTCTAAAATGAATTACCTTATTTGCCACGTTGGAAAAGCAACAAAGGTTTCCTTTAATGTGTAATATATATTGTGATTAAAGTATAAATAAATAAATAAAAGTATAATAAAAGATGCTTGAAAATGCAATATTCTCTAAAATCGGCATTTCAGAGTCTGTAAACACATTGCAAGCAATGAAAGTTGCTTCAAGGAGAATTCAGACCCTCCCATTTTGCCGTTTGTAAAACCACAAAAAGCTGTAAGCTTAAATCCAGTTTGACTCACGAATCTTCCAGAAACACACTGTAATCTTTTAGTCTAAGGTGGCTCGAATGCCAGGAGGGGTGAACAAGACAGATGCGGCTGGAGCTTGCAGTGGTGAGGGAGACAGACGTTAGGTCAGATAATCTATCTGTTCAGGTAATAATGGCATTGAAGGAAAAAAAAAAAGCCACAGTAAAGAGATAGCATGAGAGAAGGTCTTGCAGAGCAAGGAGACATTTACCAAGACCTGAATGAAGAGGGGCAGCATGTACAAAGGCTCTGAAGCCGGATGTGGTGGGTGTGATGTCAGGGGAGAACGAAGCCCGTCGTGGCGGGAGCAGAGTGACATGGTTGATAGCAGCCCCGATGTAAACACTTCGGTAATTATAGACGTGTGAGCGTGTTAAAATCACCTTGGAATCAAAATAACAGTCAAAATCCAGCTAAATCTTGTTAATAAGAGATAATAACAAAAATAAAATATCACTGAAAAGTTCAAAACAAGAAAAAGACACACAGCAAAATCCTCGCAGAAAGGAAGTAGCTGAAAGAATATTAATATCAGATAAAATAGAATCTAAGACCTAGTGCATGGGGAAAAGATATGTTTTCTATTGCTAAGAGCTGTGCTTGGTCAGAAGACCTAAGTCGTGAACTTCTGTAAGTATGTATACTTCTCCCAAATTGCTAGAAACACAGGTGGCAATGAGAAAACGGCAGCCATAGATGAAGGCGTAAATTGTCTTCTCAGAATTGGACATTTCAGCTAAACAAACAAACAAAAAAAACAGAGGACTACAGTTAACAAGGTTGATAAAACCGAAAATAGGAACACTTTTCAAATCCTCATGCCACTTGTAAAACATACATGGAAGAGTTACAAAATTTGACTATGTTTTAAAGTGCTCAGAAAAAAATCCCATAAAGAAATCATACAGGCCACGTTCACAGACTATAACACAGGAAAATGAGAAATTAACAATGAGATAGCTAAAACCACTTTGTTCCATTTGGAAATGTAAGAGTATATCTCCAAATATTTATTGTTTTCAAGATAAAGTAGAAGTCGTAAGCTATTTAGAAATGAGTTACAAGTACCCTGCAGGGTTCAGATCTGTAAATTAAACCTATAGGATGCAGCAAAAATGGTACTCTGAGGAAGATTTATAGGCTTAAGTGTATTTTCAGGATATAAGAAAGACTGAAAATAAGGCAAAATAGGATAAAGGTAAAAGCAGAATTCGGTGCATTAGGAAACAGACAACAGAGTTGTCAAAGTTGTAAAACTAAATGCTGGTTCTTGGAAAGGACCCACACATGACAGATTCGATCAAGTTGAAAAGGAAGAAGGTCCCAAAAAACTGCAAGAGAGAAGGGAAGAGA